GGTATGACTCCCAGCAAATCACTTAACCCTGATTACCTCCCCCAAATAAACAAACAAAAAACAGTTACACATAGAAGAGCTGGCCTTAGCAAGGAGAAACATTACCTCTTCTTTAGAAACTATAGACAGAGAGAATGGGGGATGAAGTCAAGGAGTTTTGCGATTCAGAGAAAAAAAAGAGAGAGCATATTGTGAATGACCTTTATTTTTTCAGCGAAGCATAAAACAATGTCCTCAGATGAGAAAGGTAGAGGGAAAGGGTGATGTGAGAGGCCTGAAGAGAGAAGAGAAAGTTTGGAACATTTGCACTAAGGAGTTTGATTTGAATGAATGGAAAAACATTAAGTTTTTACTATATTTTAGTCACTGTGCTATGCAATGTAATATAAATAAAAAGGAGAGATAATCTCTGCTCTCAAGAAGCATTCTAATAGGAAGAGATAACACATTTGGGAAATCATGGCAGGACAAGGGTGAACTCCCAGGGATAATGAATGGAGCCACAAGACAAGTAAATGTCACCTTTTGCAGAACCAAGCATTGACCTGATTGTTGCTCCCAGATCAAGAGGCAGAAAGAATAGAGTAAAGGGATATTTTGGGGGCATGGTAGGAAGTTGGCTTGGTTAGGCAGCTGGGGCCAACTAGATCTAGTGAGCACTAACCAAGCAGCAGAGCTTCAGGGTGGCAGCTGGAGGTCAGGTTAGAAGCATGGAGAGACAAGAGTGGTAGTATTAGGCTAAATGTCAGGAAGAAAGCTTGATAGAGAATCAAAAAAGTAAAAGAATTGATGTGGGGCACCTAGTTGAAACTAAACATATAAATTTGTAGCAGACTCAGTCAGCAAGGTTACATGACTTCTTCCAACACCACTTTGCAGTGGAGAAAAGACAGACACCAGGAACAATCCAGGGTTGGGGTCTGACAAGCCAGGAGTAGTGATAGGACAAAAGAAAGGATTTGAGAGTGCAGAATAATGTGGAGTTGAACTGGTACTAAAAGGTTGAGACTTGGAAGGAAGGAAAGTAAAACCAAAGAAGAGGTGATGGCCCAGGGAAGCACTAGTGGAGAAACTGGAGATCCCGGTGAGGACAAAGAATAGATTTAGGAGAAGGCATAAGGGAATAGGTATTAATAGGAGGTTTTGGTCAGATAAAGGCATTTCAGAATTCATGATAATTCTATGGTATAGTTGTAAATGATGGGAAGATCATGGATGTGACTGTCCTTGTATTTTGCTATGTTAAAGTTTAAAAAAAGAAAAAGGACATCATGGAAATCGAGGAGGTCCTTTGTTAGATACTAAAAGAGACTGGGGTGCAGTGGAGAGGGTTTTAGATTAAGAGTCAGAAGACCTGGTTCAAGTTCTGTCATTTATTGCCTGGGTAACCTTAGAAAATCCACTTAACATCACACAAGGCTTCAACTTTGTCTTTTATCTGTAAAATGTTGGATTCTGTGACCTCTAAAGTCTTTAAATCTGGTATCCTATCCCAGCACTTCTTAAACTGTGGGTCTCGACCCATATGGAGTCCCATAATTGAATGTTGGGGTTGCAAAAAATTTGGCAACAGTAAAAGGTTTCTGAACGTGCCCAAAAATTAATTCAAAATCAAATGTTTAATGAATCCGAGGTGTGTCTGGCAACGTCTGCCCGTGTTGCATGGAGCAACTACACTGCAGCCTTGGTTCTGAACACACCACATGCATACTTTGCAGTATACATGCCGTTACGCCATGCAACGCCAACCCAGAAACACCTCGGCTCAGATCGAAGACTATTGTGTGTTATGAAATGCAGTGTTTTTATTGCATATACAAAATAGTTAAATGAATTTTGGCTTGGGATTAGGACAGAATTTCAAAATTTCTGAAATGGCCCTAAACATACTTCTGCCATTTTGCACTATGTATTTATTTGAAGTGGCATTCTCAGCATTGACTATTATAAAATTAAAATATTGCTCAACTCTGAAAAAAGTTGAAGATGCTCTACATCTTGCAGTATCAAATATTCTGCCAAGATTTAATTCTTTTTTTTTTTTGCAAGGCAAATGGGGTTAAGTGACTTGCCCAGAGTCACACAGCTAGTAAGTGTTATATGTCTGAGACCAGATTTGAACTCAGGTCCTCCTGACTCCAGGGCCGGTGCTCTATCCACCACGATTTAATTCTTTATGTAAAAATAAACAAGCACATTCATCGCAGTAGTATTCAAGTTCACTTTTGTCTTTAATAAGTGGTAAAATTATATGTATACCAAAGTATTGTTTTAAAATAAATTTCTTTATGATTTGTTATGAATAAATGTTTGATTTGTATACCTATTTTATATACCTATATACCTGGGGTCACATAAAAATTTCTTCAGCAAAAAGGGATCACTAGTGGAAAAAGTTTAAGAAGCCCTGTCCTATCCTACATAGATATATATAGTTCAAGATAGACTATAAGTGTACCTAAGAGATATAAACCGGGCAGCTAGGTGACAGTATCAGACAGCGTGCCAAGCCTGGAGTCAGGAAGATTCCTCTTCCCGAGTTTAAATCTAGCCTCAGACACTTACTACCTGTGTGACCCTGGGCAAATCACTTAACCCTGTTTGTCTCAGTTTCCTCATCTGTAAAATGAGCTGGAAAAGAAAATGGCAAACCACTCCAGTATCTTTGCCAAGAAAGGTCCTAAACAGGGTCATGAAGTGCTGGACACAATGGAAAAACACCTAACAACAACAAAAAGAAGTATAAAGTCCTGTGAACACTCCAAGGATTAGGGAAGTGTTTCTAGCTGGGGTCATAGGGGCAAGATATGGGAAGGCTCCATGTTTTATATGTATTAACATGCCCAACACAGTGGGCATCACAGTGACCTATTCATAGTGATGGTGATATGGTCTTATGGTACTCTCAAGGATATGACAAAACAGTTGTGAAGACAGGACTAGAACACATTAAACAGTGAACAACAGAAGACTATGAAGAATATGAGTGTTAAATTGCAAGTGAGAGAAATAATTATTAAATAATCAATTATTGGGAAGATCCAAGGTTTTTTCCCCCTCATTTCCTCATTCTCTACAAAGTCAAAATAGCACCTGAAGGACATCACTGATAATGAGATTAGATTAACTTTCTCCTCAATCTTGTTCAGACCCCACCCAAGTGGGGAAGCTCATTCTGTTCCACTCAGGCTTGAGTGGGTGGATAGACAGATCCTTTATCTAGATTGCCTGGGTTGGGGGTGGTCTGGAAGTGAAAGTGACATAATCAAAGTCCTTGTCCTGCAGCTCCTCATTAGACCCATTAGAATAGGTCCACCTCTCATTATAATATTCATTCTTCTCATTAATTGTTAACCAATCAGAGTTAATTATAGCCTGTCTCCAATATTCATTCTTCCAAGGGCATATAAGCATCAATAAGCCACCATGATCGGTCTTTGGCATTTGAGAGTGCCACTGATCCCTTTTATTAATTACCCACTAGCAATAATTAATAAAATTATTAATTACCCACTAGCAATAATTAATAAAATTATTAATTACCCAGAAACTATGTCTCTCAAACTTTTTATATGTCACACATAGCACCACAGGGATTCAGAGAAGAGATAAATGAGGATTAGACTGGTCAAAGAAGGCTCCATGGAGGAGGTGAGCTTGAAGGATGAGTAGGATTTGATTAGGTAGAAGGAAGAGAAAGGTATTTCAGGGAGAGAGGCATGATGACATGAATGAATGCCGTGAGCTCGGAAAGAGAATAGTATATAGGGAGCCTGACCTACCAGGGCAGATGTTTGATTTTAAAATAAGAAGTTGAATACATAGTGCAGGATCAGGATTACTAAGAAAGATATTGACAAATCCAGCACTACTTGCATACCAGCCATATCATGGAAAAACCACTGGTACTGCAGTTAAGGAAGCAGAGTTCAAATCCTGCTGTTCATATGTAGTAATACTTACTACACATGTGACTTTAGGCAACTGACTTATTGTCCCTGGGACTCAATTTTCTTATCTATAAAATGAAAGGACTCTACTAGTTGACCTCTAACATCCCTTACACCTCCAGATTTGTGATTCTGTCCAGTTCCTTTAATTAAAAAGAAGGGGGGTTCTTTTTTTTCTCATGAAATACAGCCCCTCTATAGCCCCTTTGTGTAGCATAAAAACTGCAAAACCTATTTAATGTCTCCTTAGCTTTTTTGGGTCATCATTTTCCAGTCAGGCCTGAGGAAACCAAGATGATGTAACAGGAGTAAAGAGTGATTATGGATGCCAAAACCACTTTCTATTTTAAATGGAGATACAAAGCTGGTCACCCCCAAAGGACTGAACTGCCATCTGCAGAGCATATTGACAGTGCAGGAATCTAATCTATCACTAAGAGTGAATAAACATATCTGAGATTTTTGGCTCAGAAATTCTACCCAGCGTTTGGCACTTCAAACTGCTGCTTTCTTCGTTGCTAGTGGCCATAATTTAGAAAAATATTTCTTGCCCAACTACTGTACCTTCCAAATTTTTAAGTGATCATGCACTCACAGCACCACCTAGGAGTAAAACTGTAAAATACACAGGATTAGGGACTTAGTTGGCCTCTTCAATAAGAGCAAGCCTTGGGGACCCAGGGGGAAAAACAGGAAGAAGGAAGACCGAAAGAAAAATGTCTTTCCATGGAGAGACCACAGAGCAGAGGAGCTCAAACTGGTGTGTGAGGAAGAGAAAGAAAGTTATAGGAGACAGGAATAATAAAGGAAAGTGTACCTGAGATGAAAAAAAAAATGGAAGGTGGGAATGGGGGACCAAAAAGAAGAGGAAAAAAGAAACATTTTAAGAAAAGAGAGTTTAAAAGGGAGGGACGAGAATCCAGTTTGGCTTTAAGTTTGGGAGGTAGAAACCTGTGGTTTTAGAGAGAAATGCAATAATCCAGGTACTAAAGGATACCCTATTCAGTGAGTGTCCAGAATGTTGCAAGCATGCAATTAATGTGAACTTACTACTGCAATGAGTTCAGCAGACATTGCCCACTGTGAGCCATTGTTGGTGGGGAGGAATCTGTTGTTTTGGCACAATCAGTGACTGGCTTTGGGGAAGGAAAAGAGGAGAGTTATTGAAATGAAGAGCAGGGTAGAAATCTTATTGGACAGGGCACTATTTCCTAATTATGGTGGCTTGACACAAAAGCAGACTGACCTGGAACTTTGTGGCTCTCTGGTTGTCTTTAACAGCTATCCCAGAACCAATGCCCATGGAGTACAGAGCCAGCTCCCTGAACAGTAAGGAGAAAGCTCGTGGCAAATTCTCTGTCCCTGGGGTTACATTAAGCAGCCACAGATACACAGTCTTCTCCAACTGCCATTAGAATCTGCTATCCTCCAAAGCTCTGGACCCGGCTGTTAAAGGGATAGTGCTCTTGGCAAGGGGCCTTTTCGGGAATCTGACCTACAGTTACCATAGAGATAAATGCTTTGGTACTTCAAAGGATCCATGCAGTGACTCCCTCCACCAATGTATACTGCAACCCCTTCACAATGTAGTAAAAGGTCTTGAGGCAGGAAGATTGTTATGTTGCAGCCAAGTTGGTAATACAACCATAGATTTAGAGGTAGAAGAGTCATCAGAGGTCATCTAGTCCAACCCCCTAATTTTACAGATGAAGCAATGGAGGCACAGGGAAGTTAAGTAACTTCCCAAGGTCAGAAAGGTAATGTTAGACATGGGATTTAATCCCAAGTTTTCTAACAAGAGGCAGGGAGAACTCTTCCAGGTGTATCATGCTCTTTGCCCTTAGCTGAGCTAATCCTCTGGAAGCAAATCCAAAGCATCTCCAACTTGGTTGGACCTACCAGAGTTCTTGAGTCTTTGAGAACCCAGTGTCACCTCTATCTATACTATGAAGGATCAGAGGAGCACTTTAATGGGTGGCTCAGTGGATAGAGAGCTGGACCCGGAATCAGGAAGACCTAAGTTCAAATCTGGCCCCAGATACTTACTAGCTGTGTGATGCGGAGCAAATCACTTAACCTCTGTTTGCCTTAATCCACTGGAGAAGGAAACAGCAAACCACCCCAGTATCTCTGCCAAGAAAATGGACAGAATGGTCCACAGGGTTACGAAGAATCAGACGTGACTGAACAACAACAACAAATCATAACAATAATATAATATCTTGGCTACCTTATAGTACCTTCTTCCCCTCCCCTCCCAAGGGAATTCAAAACATTTATTGAGTTTGATATTCTGCCCTTTGGTGGAATATTTACTGCCAAAGCACAACACATGAATGTACTTTAAGAAAAAAAAAGGCAAAAGTGTTATGGAAGTGTAAAGTATTGTTGCTGTCTTCCAAGTCTACTTCTGTGAAACTGTTCTTGACTAGCCCATGCCATCCCATCTCTTAACTTATGTCGCAATTTATAATTTGTAACACTTACGTCAGAAGAGACCATTTGACACAAAGGGTCATAGGACATTTGAGAAACCACTTCCTTTGCAGTTGTTGACCCTGCTCAGGTGGAACCAGGAAATAGCAATATCTGACACTCTCTTGATATATCCACCATCTGCCCCTTACAAATATTCACTCATAAGGCTCAAAAGTAAGGCAGCAAACAAGCATTTATTAAACTCGTACATTGTGCTAAGTACTTTACAAGTATTATCTCATTTGATCCTCACAACAAGTGTGGGATTTATGTGTTGTTATTATTATTTAATGTGCTACTATTATCCCTATTTTACAGTTGGGGAAACTGAGACAGGCAACAGTTAAGTGACTTATCCAAGGTCACCAGCTAGTAAGTATATGAGGCTGGGTACACAGTTTTTCCTGACTCCAGGCCCAGCACTTTATCCACTGTATTACTTAATTACCTCTTTCAAAACAGAAAAAGTTTTATTTATAAATTACAGGAAAGTTCTAGAGAATAAATAATGAAATACATCTGAAATACATTCTCATCATGGGGGAAGGAGGAAGGTGCTGCCAGGGCACAGTATTGTATACACTGTGAGAGGTGTTCACTATATCAGATATTTTTAATAGTTTTTTTTTCTTCATCACAATTGATCGATCAACAAGCATTACTAAGCACTATGTGTTAGGCCCTCCTCTAAGTGCTGGGGATCATGTCCTCAAGGAGCTTGCATACTAATGAGAGAAGACAATGTATACACATACAGACACTTACAGAATATGTACAAGGCAAATACAAAGTAGCTTTTGGAAGAGGTGCATTGGCAACTGGAAGACCAGGAAAGGCCTTGTGAAGAAAGTGGCACTTGAGTCCTGAAGGAAACTAAAGGGCAGCAGTGAGGAGGGAAGGCATTCCAGGCATGGGGGATCACTAGTGCAAAGGCACTAGAAACGGGAGACTGAGTACCATATGTATGGAATAGAGTAGGTAAGGGAATATGTGTGTGTGTACATATGTACATATATATACATGTATATACATGTATATATACATGTATATATATGCATATACACACACAAATAACTTACTATGGGCCAGGCACTATGCTAAGTGCTTTACACATAATTTATCATTTGGTCCTCACAAGCTGTTATGATCCCCATTTTACAGTTGAAGAAACTGAGACAGAGGATAAATGATAGCCCAGGATCACACAACTAGTTAATGTCTGAGGCCGTATTTGAACTCAGATCTTCCTGGCTACAAGCCCAGTGCTTTCTGACTGTGCCAAGAACTGCCAAGTAAGCTAGTATAAGTGGATTTTAGCATACAAGACAAGGGAGGGAAGGCAGGAAGGGGCCAGGTTGTGAAGAGCTTTAAAAGTCAAATAGGAAAGTTTATATTTGATCCTTAAGGTAAGAGGGAGTCACTAGATTTTTGCTCAGTAAGGGGGTGACGTGATCAGGCCTGCCTTTTATGAAAGGGAGCTATAGGGAGGATGGAGTGGAATAGGGAGAGGCTTGAGGCAGGGAGAAAGAATAAGAGGCTAGTGCAGTAGCCCAGGTAAGAGGAGATGGGGGCTTAAACTATCTGTGAGTGTAGGGGACAAGACTTATGTGAAATATGTGCTGGAGACAGAATTGACAAAATTTGGCGATTGATTGGATATTTAGAGTGAGTGAGAGTAAGGAGGGGAAAGACAGCTCCTAGATTGTGAACATGGATAACTTAAAGGATAGTGGTATCCTTTAGAGGAACAGGGAAATTTGGGAGAGGTGTGAGTTGGGGGGGGCGGAAAGATAATGTAATGAAATCTGAAATCTGTCACTAGCCATCCATTCCTGAGCATCTTGCACACCTCACTCTGCCCCACCCAAAATGACAATCAGGGAAACAGGCCTCTCATTCACCAGTCACCGCCCCATTCTTGAATCCCGTCCCTTACAGAGAACATATCACGACCTTAACCTTTCCATGGGTGGAACTCCTACCCTGGGACCCTACTGTCCTGAATGGTGAGTACCTCACATGGACTACTATCTCAGGCCAGGCCAACCCCAGAAAAGCTTCCCTTTATACTCAGGCCATCTTCTCACCATCTCTCTTGCCTCTGACAACTTGCCCTTCCTCCCTTCCCCAGTTTCCCTTTCTAGTTCAAGAACTAGAATGAATCAAAATCAATATTGCCATTGCTACTGGAAAGGGTTCATCAATCTACTCCGGCAATGGTTCCACTCATTATCCCCATAACTTTCCAAACCATAAAAATCCTTTTCTGGCCTCAACTCCCCTTTATATGTAATCTCCTATTAGAATGCAAGCTCCTTGAGGGCAGGAATTCTTGCTTATCAAGTTGTCAATTAAACTCCACATACCAACTACATAGGAAGGTATCAGAAATTCTCCCCATATATTGGGTAAAAATACATATGGAGGATTGAGACTATGTTATTAAAGGGAAATCCCAAGGGAGTCCAAGCTTGCTTAGTAATATACCCTATGTTGGGAAAGGGTATTTCCCAACATGGGTTAGGTTCCAACTAACCAGTCTAAGGATGTTGTGTGAGAGGGTTAAAACATGTAGAAATACTACAGAGGAAGTAAGGGAGGGACCTTGGCTTCCATCTAGTCCAATCCTCTTATATTACAGAATAAATAAACAAACTGGGGAATACATAGAGAAAGTGACCATATAAATCAAGTGACAAAGCCAGAACCAAAATCCACACTCCTAGCTGTGTTCTTTCCACTATGCCATACTGCCTCCCCTAACTTAAATTTTAAATAATAATTTGGGAGAGCCATAAATTCTTAGAAATGCTCAGAAATACTCATCTGATGCTGTGAACAGAAGAGAAACATTAGTTGTGTGGCCACCTAAAGTCAAATTCAACACATCCAAAATAAAGCTTATTATCTTTTCCCCTATCCCTAAATCTTGTCCCTCCTCCAAATTTCCCTCAGGTTCCACCATCTTCCTAGTGGCCTATATTTGTAATTTGAAGTAACAACTGATTCTTTTTTCTCTTTTACTCCCAATCCCTTAATATCCAACCAGTTCCCAAAACTTGTAGATTGTACATCCATTAACATCTCTCATATGCATCTTCTTTAATTTGGCACCCTCACCTTAATTCAGGCCTCTTGATTGGAGTATTATTACAGTCTCCTAATTGATCTCACTGTATCCAGTCTCTCCATTGCAAAGTGGTACAGTAGAAACAATACTGGTTTTGAAGTCAGCCATAAATTAACTTGTTCTACTGTAGTCAAGTCGGTTTACTTCTCTGGGCCTCAGTTTCTTTGTCTGAAAAATGAACAGGTAGATTAGATGATCGCCGAGGTTTTTTCTAGCTATATATGGTCCTTCTGTAATCTATTCTCCACATACCTACCAATCTAAACTTGCTAAGGCACAGGTATGACCATGTCTCTCCTCCACTCAAAAACTTTCATTGGCTCCCCATTGCTCCTGGGATAAGATATGAACTGCTCAGACTGACATTCAAATGCCTTCTACAATCTGGCTCCTATCTACTTATCCAGCTTTATTTCTTATTCCTTGCTAAATAAACTATATGTTCTAGTCAAACTAGCTAATTTCTGAACTTGGCATTTTATTTCCAACCTCAGTGCCTTCTGACAGGCCAGTTCCTCTCCTCTCCCTTCCCATACCCCACAGTTGCAATAATAGTAATAATGATATACATATATATGTACATATATATACACATATATAAACACATACATATATACACATATATATTATACATACACATAAATCACATTAAGGTTTCCAAAGCAATTTCTTCACATCAACCCTATAAGATAGGTAGTGATGTATTATTAGCCTAATTTTACAGATCAGGAAATCAATGTACAGCAGCATTAAGTGTCTTGCCCAGGGTCACCAGAGTTAGTAAGTTTCAGAGATAGGAACTTAAAATTATCTCCTTATTCCCAGTGCAATACTCTCTCCACTACACCATGAAGTTCACCCCTTCCTTATTTCTATTTCTCAGAAGATACATACATAGATACGTACTTATACACACAAATGTGTATGTATATATATGCATGTATAGTTTGTATGTATGCTCCAAATTTTTTTACATTACTAAAATTTAAAACTGCACTAAGACTTTTGGGACTTTCTGTAAATACACATGCACATGAACTCACACACATAACACACAGCCCTCCCCCCCGCCGCAGTCTGTCTGTCTTCTCTGTCTCTCTTTCCCCCCCTTCCCTCTCTCTCGGTCTGTCTCTGTCTCTCGGTGTCTCTGTCTCTACCTCTCTCTCATAATTCGTGTACCCACTCCTGCTCAATTGATCTCTAAGGTCCCTTTCTGGTCAAAGACTCAAAAGAACAAGTCACTTCTCTCCGAACTTCGTTTTGGTCATCCGTAAAACGAGGGGTTTGAATTAGACGACGTCTAAAGTCTCTTTCCTACTGCGCCATAAAGACGCAGTGAGAGCACGCTAGCTAAGCGTTTAAGAAGTTTAAGGTATCTGAGAAACTGGGCCTTCGTGGCTCGCCGTAGCCCATTTCGGAAACAGCCCGGTATTGTGTCCCTGCTCCCTCCTCCCTCTCCCCCGGCCCTTTGCTCCGCCCCTGCGCTCGCCCCCGCCCCGTCGCCACGCATGCGCCTGGGGGAGTTGCCTGTCCACATTACCCGCCTGGCGCCAGGAGGAGGAGCTTGCGCTACCGCTGCCACCTCCACTTGGTCCCGGCGGGCGCCTGGTCGTCGGTCCTCGCCCGGGCCCAGCCGCGCTGCGCTCCTCATGAGCGGCGGCGGCTGAGGAGGCTTCGCCCCGAGCGGAGGTGAGGTAAGCCCGTGGCGGGCGGTGTCCGGCGTCCGTCAGCGTGTCTGAGCCCGGCCTGGGCCTGGGCCTGCGAGCCCGGGGAACGGCCGCGCCCGGACCCGGACCCCGGCCGCTTGCCAGACCGCGGGGGACGGGCCTGCGCCGCCGCGGCCGCCTGCTCGCCAGCCCGGGTTGCGCCCCCCACAGGCCTCCCCTGCCCCCCTTCTCCGAGGAGAATCTGGTTCCCTCCGGGGCCCCTGTGCCCCCACCCCCATCCCCAGGCAGCCTGCAGGGGAAAGAGGGAGTGGGGTGCACCCCTTCCTGCAGCCCCCCTCGCCCTGGATGGCCACGTCCTGCCCATTTCACCCCCTCCTCCAGCTAACCACCGATGGTCTCCCCTTTGCCCCCACCCCACGATCACTAAGTGTGGACCTCGTTTGTTTCCCATTTCTCCTCCCCAGAAGGACAGGCCCCAATTTGTTCCCCCTTCTTCCTCCATCCTCTCCTCCCAGTCTTCCCAGAAATATTTTGGCAAAGACTAAGGCGGTGCCCCCCATTCCTCAAGACTCCTTCCCTGTATCTTCGTCAGGTTAGCCAAGCCCCAGAGCTTCAGCTGCCTTTCCCTCTTCTCCCCCCACTCCTCCAACACCTTTAGAAATGACTTTCCATGAATTGGTAGGGTACCCCCAATTACTTCCTTCCCTCTCCCATAGCCGCAACATCTCCCTTTTATTCTGAAGCCTCTGGATTGGACTCAGCTTCTTTGACCACCCCTTTTTCCAGGTCAATAGGGACAGATCATCTAATCATACAGTCTACACTATCCCCTACTCCTCTAAAAAAAAAAAAAGCAAAAAAACAAACAAACAAAAAAACTCCACTTTGAAACACCTGGGTTTGGATTCAGGATGCTGCATTCCACAGTTGAATCCCCATTTTAACCCTTTCTTTACCCCATCTAGAAACACCTGGGCTTGGACTCAGAGGGAGTGCACTGACTCTGTTACATTTTTTGTCTCTAGTGTACCCCAACCTCTAAGCAGCCAAACCCCAAGTGTTTTCTATTATTTCCCCTTATCACACGTAAGAAAAATCGATCCTGAAACAACCAGGTGAAGATTAAGAGGGTGGCATTCCTTTTTTCTTCAGTAACTACCTTTTTAGTTGTTCCTTTTCCTCCATTCCACTCATTTACTCAGACATCCTGACCTTATTCTGACTCATTCTGCTTCCTCTCCCCTAAAAACTCTCTGAACTATTAGATGTGAATAGAGATCAGGCTTCCCCTTTATTTAGTGATCCCCTCATGGTATCTTTCCAGGAAGGCCCAATTCACTTCAACCCTTACTCAAAACCCTTAATTTTGGGTCGGACTATAGGATGGACTTCCATATTTTCAGGGATCTCCACCTTTTTAATTGCACATTTTCCTTCTTTCCCCCACCCTATTGCACTTTTCTCTGTTAGGAGAGAATTTCCTCCTAGGAATGACCACTACTTCAACTGGGGCTGGGGCTCTTTTTTCTGTCTTTCATTGAGACAGTTTTCTGGCTTTACCAAAGCCTTTCACGTGAAATTAACTGATGCATTTGAGGGCAGAATTTTATTTCTTTGGCCTGTAGTCCTCAGGTGTGTTCCTCACCAGAGTTCCTGGCCTGGTCTTCTCCCTGAAACTCAAATATTTTGGTGTTTTTTTTTTAAGTGGTTAGGCCAGCTACTGAATGTTATTTTTTGCTCTTCATCTCTCTGATGCCATTCTCTCTTCCTTTCCTCCAAATCTCAAAAGACTTTAACTTTGCCAGGTCCTGACCACCAGGTCCTCTAAGCCTTTCCTAGATATACTAATGGTTAGGGTCACTAATTAAAACCTCTGGGTTTTGTATGGGGGAAGAACACCTTAATTGTTGGCCTGATACCTGTGTATTTTTTGGTCTGCCAGAAGACTTGTAAAGTGGGTGCTTATGATGTAATTCCTCTCTTCCACCTCCACCCTTCTCTTTTCAATGACTCTTTGGCCAATGTTAGTATTATTTTTAATAGTTTCCCCTTAGAGCAACCAGAAGTTCTGGTAAGACATTTTAAACTAATTTAAAATTTATTCTATCTAAATTAAACTGAGAAATTACAGTTTCTAGTGTTGTGATTTTTAAGATTTTCTGATGGAAAAAATACTAGGTTTCAAAAATAGACATTTACCTCTTCTATTAAACTGGTATGTGCTTAATGTGAGCAGGTAATGGAAGTTAGTGTTGAGGTTACATCCAGAGCTACTGATCCAAGAGGCAGGAGAAATAATTACTTACAGTACAGATTTTCAATACTTCCCATTGTCAAGCTGAAATCTAATTGAGCTGCAGTAGAGATTTTTTTTTTTCATCTGCAGTATGAGTCTTGATTGCAGAGTATCAGTGCAGCATTTCAAGCTTTGCTACAGAAGGCAAGGCAGTTGAAATTCCAGCACAAAGCTGACTTTGGCTTGCACTTTTCAGCTGTGTTTCCTGGTCGCCTCATAAGCAAATGAGCTTCTCAGCCCACTAATGAAACATTCTAGAAAACATCCTTAAGCCTATAATATGGAAGCTGTAGCAGCAGAGAACAACCATAAGGCTTCGAAAGTCCTGGGCTTGTATTTTAGTGTATCTATTTAACTTGTCTCACATGGTGTGTGTCTTGGAATCTGGGTGACTTCTGAATCTACTATATCTTGCTGGGATTTAGTTTTCCTCCTGTCACTTAGTATCCTAGTTTTCTGTCAGTCTTATGAATTTAAAAAAAATCCTTTAAAAGTAATCTTTAAAGAAATAACTGGGTCTCAGCTATTCCCAACAACATTCTTAGACTTTTGAATAACAATGAAAAATGCCTTAATTTAAGATATTACCATGTATGGAATGCCAAAGATAGTTCAAGGGTATCTTGGCTATGAATAATAAACTGAAAGATAGGAACAGGAAATTTAGGATTACTATATGCTTTCTCTAAATTAATTTATTTCAATTATAAATTTATCTATGACCTGAGAAGTTTTTGTATGATAGGGTTCAGTAATATGGCTAAATGTTTATTATTAACTTCTTTTTGATATTGTTATTTTTAATAAAATTTCCTTTTAATAGTGGTTGTTCCTACTTCTTCCTGTTCCCCTTACAGGTTCAAATTACTGAGCACAGATTTTCTTTTCACTATTGAAGCATTCTGGTTCATCATCCATCCCTAAGCACCCTCAGTCTGACTTAACTAGTTGTGGAAACATGGCAACTGAAGAAAAGAAACCAGAGGCAGAAGCCACAAAAACACAATCTACACCTTCCTCATCAACCAATCAGAGCAAGGTGTGTCTAAAAGATCTGATGTACTTTTAGGTGAAATTGAGCACATATTTTGAAGTAAGGTTAATCCAAAGGTGGATGTGTTAGAGCTAAGCTAAGAGTTGCTGAGCCAACTGCTAAATTTTCAGTGTGAACATTTACACCTTGAAAATCTGGTTAATGCTATAAATCAGGGCTTGCTTTATTGTTTTGTTGACTGTATAGACAAAGTGATAGGGAAAATGTTAATAATAGAGATTAAACTTAAAAGTGTGTCATGTATACATTTTTGTCTCAGAAAGCTGGTTACTAAGCATTTACCGGACACGGGGGTTGATCTCTTGACCACTTACTGTATTGTTGAAAATTGTTATTTCTCTTTTTTCACCTAAGTAAAATGCTATCAATAATACTTCTGCACCCATTCTAACTTTGTAAGGCTCTAAGTAGGTTGACCATGATCACTTTCTGATGTTTAATTTTGTTTTTTCTAGCCTGCACCTGTAAAGCCAAACTACGCATTAAAGTTCACACTAGCAGGACATACTAAAGCCGTATCTTCGGTAAAATTTAGTCCAAATGGAGAATGGTTAGCAAGTTCTTGTAAGTATAATCTCAAATATGTAATGTTACTACCTGATTTGGTAGTTGAGAAAATTGAGGCTGGGGTTTCAGTCCTTGAGATACTGCCAATTTAGCAATCCTCCCATATTAAATTGTTCTTGTCAGTGTTGCTGACAATCTGAGTTGAAGGGACCTCAGGTTACTTTGGCCTACCCATATCTGAATAGGAACTCTATAAAATAGCTGTAGTTATTGTTCAGCTAGCTCCCATTACAAAAAAAACCCAAAAACCGTAGTGAGGGAGAATCCACTTGGTTCTGAGAAAACTCACTCCACTTTTGGCTAGCTCCAGTTGTTAGGAAATTTGTTCTTTATATAGAGCATAAATCTGCTTCTCTGAAACTCTGAACTCTTGTCTCCAGTTCTGCCCTATGGAACCAAAGAGAACAAGTTTGATCTCTCTTTTATATGATAATCCTTAAACTATTACAGGATATTATATCTGGAGCTTTCCAGGGATCTTGTAGGCCATATAGTCCAAGCCCTTCATTTTACAGATGCGGAACTTTAGCTCAGCAAGGGTAAGTGACTTACAGGGTCATAGGTAATGTCAAAGTTATGTGTTACCCTCCAAGTCTTACGTTGAGATTCAATTACTCCAATGACATAATTTAAAGGTGCTTTTAAAAAAGTGTGTCCAGATTTGGATACAGATCTTCACATAGTCTTCTTATGTTTTACTGTGGTTTCTTTCTTTGTTCTATGCATTAGTAGAAGCATAGTGTCCAGGCTAAGATGGCATTCCTCTGCTAAAGTTAGACCTAGGTAATGCTTCAATGTGTGGAAGTGACTGGCTTCTTGAAATCATCAGTGGAGCTCACACTCTGGCAGGGCTGACCCAGTTAGTTGGGAAGGCTTTAAATATAGACCTTAAGGCCTGAGAATCAACTTAGCCAAGGCTAGAAGGTTGATTACCAGGTGATTAAGCCATAGCAACTCATGAGTACCATTCACTAAAACAAAGAATGATTTCTGTTTGCATTGGTTAGAGTGCCCAGATCCATGAAATTTTAGATTCTCAAAGCAAGATTAAATTAATCTTTTTCAGTTGCCATGTTTTACTGACTCATGTAAAACTTAGTCTCCCCAAAACTCTCAGATCTCTTAAGTGAACTGTTGCATAGTCATATCTTCATCCTTTACTTTTGTAGTTCTATTTTTTTTTCCACCCAAGTATACAATTCAATTAAATTTAACCTTAATAGATTTGGACAACTGTTCTTTCTTTTTTTTTTTTTTTTTTTTTGGCTAGGCAATGGGGTTAAGTGACTTGCCCAGGGTCACACAGCTAGTAAGTATCGATCGTCTGAGGCTGGATTTGAACTCAGGTCCTCCCGACTCCAGGGCCGGTGCTCTATCCACTGCCCCACCTAGCTGCCCCTGACAATTGTTCTATCTCGTCAGATCTTTTTGCAACCTGAATCTGTCATTCAGGATATTAACTGTCACGCCCAGCCTCAAGCTCTTGACAGGCATATGTCATCCTCATTCATTGATAAAAATGTTGAACAGCTCACTGGGGAATTCCATTTAGAGATCTCCATCCAGGTTTACTTTAACTTCCTAATAACCATTCTTTTAAGTCTGGTTGTTTCTGACTCCCCTTGTTATCCAGATCACTCTGTTTTTAGTTACCCCTAAAAAAAAAAATCATCAAATTAGGTCTTAGTTCCATAAGGCTATGGAGACAGGCATTTAAATCCTATTTCAAACTTGAGGTGTAAAGCAAAAGCTTTCTTCACATTGTGTGAAATGAAGAACTAAAGCAGAGTATTGTGTCCATAAGTTTTCCCTACAGTTTGTAGTCAGAAAGCTCCCAGGGACACTCCTACCTCAGGAGATATATATTGTGTACTCACACTGAGAAGTGTCACAGTTTTCCTCTTAATCTTGATACTTCAGGTGCAGTTAGAAAAGGTCTCCTCACTGCTTGACATTAATCTAATAAAGGGATAAATGTAATGACAAAGCAAACTTTGCTGTAGTCAGAACACCTCTTTTCCTACTTGGGTTTGGACTTTTCACCAGAAGGTGAAGGTGGGGAGAATAACCAACCACTTACCTCACAAGGTAGCTCTTAGCATCAAATGAGACCACGTGAAAGCCGAAGTTATTACCCATCTCTGATAGACTAACAATAAATATTTTTGTCTTTTAGCTGCAGATAAGCTCATTAAAATTTGGGGAGCATATGATGGAAAATTTGAGAAAACAATATCTGGGCACAAACTGGTAGGCTTTTTAAAAAAAAATACCTCTTTGGGATTTATTATAAGATATAAGTTAATGTTATACAGTGGAACCTGAAGGGATAAGAGCATTTTAAAAGCTAAAAGATGTAGCTCATTGACTTCAGATTTGGGAATGAACTAATGTAAAGCTTTGCTATACCTTTTGTCTGTCTTTGTCATTTCTTGCAAATGTCAGGTCCTTTCATGATTGTTTCACCAGTAGTTGCTAGCTTTCAACAAGGCAGCTAAATTGGGTATCTTGACAGTACTTCATATTTCTAATAATGTAACTCTTATGTATTAATGCATTAGCTAAACTTTTTCTGGCAATTAAGTGGCTAGTGCTTATTTTTTTTATATATCTCTTGCCTGTCTCACCTGGGAATTAATCTGCTATTTTCTTTCCTTTTCTTTTTTTAAAGGGAATCTCGGATGTTGCCTGGTCATCAGATTCCAATCTTCTTGTATCTGCTTCTGATGATAAAACTCTTAAGATATGGGATGTTAGCTCTGTAAGTAGTTAGATTCTAGCCTCCTACCCCTCAGCATTTATTGACCATCTGTAGTTGAGAGATGGACAAGGGATTTTTTTTTTAGTGAGGTAATTGGGGTTAAGTTACTTGCCCAGAGTCACATAGCTAGGAAGTATTATGTGTCTGAGGCCGGATTTGAACTCAGGTCCTCCTAACTCCAGGGCCGGTGCTCTATCCACTGCACCACCTAGCTGCCCCAACAAGGGATTTAATATTTGTAAGCAGTATACTTTAGGGCACATCCCTTCTCTCTTTCTGGTTAGGTAAAATGGAAGGATTTCCAAAGGGACCTTAGGTCAACTAGTTCAGCTCTGTGATGCTGTGTGAATATTTTATATAACCTGTATATAGGATGAAGTATGAATTTCAAGAGATTCTAGAATATAGTTTTTCTTGACCTTCTGATAAGTTTAGTTTGAATAGTGATTTTTTTTTTAGGTAAATGCTAGTATTTGGGGGGGAAAATAACTTGGTCTGTTACTTTTCTTTTTTAGGGGAAGTGTCTAAAAACACTGAAGGGTCACAGTAACTATGTCTTTTGCTGCAACTTCAATCCCCAATCCAACCTCATCGTTTCAGGATCTGTAAGTTTTTAATTGTATATGAACGTGTGTAATCAAGACAATAGGCCAGTTTTCTATCATACTTTAGTTTTTAATCACTTGGGTAGGGGGAGCAGGGCATCTTCAGGGAATCAATATTGCCTTTTGCTGTCTAAGGCATTCAAGAGGTTGCCAGTATTGCAGAAATTTCCATCTTGACTGTTTGATGTTTGTTTTTCTCTTTTAGTTTGATGAAAGTGTAAGGATATGGGATGTGAAAACAGGGAAGTGCCTCAAGACTTTACCTGCTCATTCTGACCCAGTTTCAGCAGTAAGTCCCCTTATATACATTTCAACTGTAATTTATTACAGCACATCATGGCACAATGGATAGAAAGGTGACCCAAAAGTCAGGAAGACCTGAATTCCAGTATTATCTCTACTGTATCATACTGCCCATGTGAACCTAGGAAAGACAATTCACCTCTCAATTTCGTAAGAATTCTCTACGACTATAGCTATAAACTACTGGTCTTCATTGGCAAGAGGGAGTTTCCTCATTGAGAGTTCTCTGTGTGAATGAAATCACAGGTTTGATTTTTAAAAATGAGAAAAAAGGTAATTTATGGACTCGACAGGCAAGTATTTTTTATTTACTTGGAGATAAAACTAGAATCAGTTACGTAGTGCAGTGGGTAGAGCACAAGAAGACTCATAAATTCAAATCCAGTCTCAGATACTTACTAGCAGTTTGACCCTGGGCAAGTCGCTTAACCTTGTTTACTTCAGTTCCCTCATCTGTAAAATGAGTTAGAGAAAGAAATGGCAAACCACTCCATTATCTTTGTCAAGAAAACCCCAAATAAGGTCATGAAGAGCTGAACACAACTGAAAAACAACTAAACAACCACAACAATAAAGATAAAACCAACCCATGAAACTAAGAACTGAGCATTAAACCATGTAATTCAAATTTATTTATTCGAACATTGATCAGTTCTTTTGTGCCTTGGTTTGCCCATCTATAAAATAGGAACAACAGGAACCCCATTCACAGCATTTGGAGAAAGTGAAATATGAGCATGGGTAGGAAAGCACCTAGACTACAAGGGGTTTTTAATCTTGCTTGTGTCATGGACCCTTTTGACAGTCTGATGAAACCTACAGATCTTTCCTCAGAATTTTTTAAATCCAGCCTCAGACACTTGACGCTTACTAGCCATGTGATCCTGGGCAAGTCACTTAACCCTGATTGCCTCACCAAAAAAAAAAAAAAATTTAAATATGTAAAACAGATAGGGTTACAAAGGAAACCTATTATATTCAATTATATTGAAGTACAGTTTTCAAAATGTTTTAAAAAAAAAAAATTTCACAAACTAGGTTAAGAAGCCCTGGCCTAAGTAATTGGCAAATTTTCAAAGTGCTTGACAAATACAAGAGAGTAGGTTGGATTATTAGCCAGCCAATGCTGTAGTAGGCTGGTGTGGAAAATACTTTAGAGAACTTATATGGAATTTCATTTAGGCCTGACAGGGTGTAAGCTTCATAGACAGAATAGGTAGAGAAAAGGACTTGAGCAGAGCAAGAGCTGGGAATAATGGCCGTTTTGGGTGGGATGCATAGACCAAGATGAATGTAAAAAACTTTCCCTAAAGAGCCTTAGCAATGTTCTTGGGCCTCAGGGATATTTGCTATTGATCTCTGTGACAGGAGACCTAGTTATCTTTGACAGAAGACAAGGTTTTTAATTTCCAAAGAGAAGTGCAGATCTCTTTCAGCGCCTTAAATGGAGAGACTAAAGCTAAAATAAGCATTCTTTTTTTTTTATTCAAAATGGAGAGAATAATTCAGACCTAATCAGGTGGTTTGGGCTAGTCTTTCAGAACACCCCTGGATGTTCTTACCCTAATGTGAATAGCACTCACCTGGAAAATAATGGAATGGAAGGGTGATATAGTAGTTATTTGTGTACGTATCTGTCTTTCCTGGTAGATGATAAGAGTTGGGACTGCCTTTAGATTTCCTCAGTAAATATTTATTGAATCCTCGACTAAATTAGGTATATCAATAAATGATTCTATTGTGTTTGTCCATGTGTGCTATCCATCCTGAAATGTAACGGGCATGCTGTCCATTTGTGCATGAAGTTAATTCAGTTAGACTCAACAAACACTAAGGATTGACTGTGTGTAAGACACTGGCAATACAAAGACAAACCTAACAGTCTGTACTTATCACAAAAATAATTTCAGGAGGGCAAGGGCATTAATAACTGGTGAGGAGGAAAGGGAGGGCAGGATTACCATTGAGGCAGCTAGGTAGAATGCTGGGCATGAAGTCCTGAATTCAGATTCGGCCTCAGACATTTACTAGCTGTGTGAATATGAGCAAGTCACTTAACCTCTACTTGCCTCAGTTTCATCAACTGTAAAATGGAGATCATAAAAGCACCAACCTTCTAAGGTTGTTGTTAAGGATCAAATAAGATAATATTTGTAAAGTGCTTAGCTAGTATCTAGTACATAGGCACTATATAAATGCTAGCTACTGCTACTACTATTATTAGGAAAGGCTTCATGTAAGAGGTGGCACCTGAACTATACATGGAAGAAATCTTGAGATTCTTTGATTTGAAGATGAAGAAGGAGTGCATTTCATGCATGGGGAACCTACTTATGCAAAGGCACAGCGAAGGGAGATGAAATATGTGGGAAGGGGAGTAATATAAAATAAATCTGGAAAGGTAGGTGAAAGCTAGATCATAGAGAGCTTTAAATACTAGGCTGAGGACTTTGTATTTTATTTTAGAGGAAGTAGAGGAGTATTGGAGGCTTGGGGTGGGGGAGAGAGAGTCAGATCTCTTAGCAGTATTAACTTGTAGCTTTGTGGAGGATAGATGAAGACTAGATACAGGAAGATGAATTAGGCTGTTAAATAGTTCAGTTAAGAGGTGATGCCTTGAACTATGGTGGAGGCTTTGAGTCCTTGGATACAGCATTTAGAGTTAGGGTCAAAGGACTTCGCAACTGAATGAATATGAGAATTGAGGAAGAGTAAAGACTTGAAGATGGCCAAGGGTGTAAATCTTGGTGATTAGAAAGATGGTGGTGTTAGAACAAAAATAGAAGAGTGGAAGAAGTTGGGTTGGGGAGAGAGGGGGTGTTGGGTTAGGGATGGGGAGAACAGGTTTTAAGTTTTGGCCATAAGTTTGAGTTTCGTATGGGACATCCAGATGGAAATGTCCTTTAGGGAGTTGGTTATATGGTAGTAGAGATCAAGAGATAAAGACTGGATATATAAATGTGGAAGTCATTGCCTAAAGATGATAGTTGAACCCATGGTAGCTGATAAGATTTAACAGAAGATTGAAGGGAAGGAACCTTGTGGGACATTCTTAGAGGGCACACAGAGAAGGATGATGTAGCAAAGGAGACTGAAAAGGACCAGTCTAGAAGGAGAGCCAAAAATTGAGAGAGAGAAATGTCTTGAAAGCTAAGGGAGGAAAGAGAATCTGGAAGGGGCCCAGCGGTGATTGTTTGACAGCATATTGTTCAACAGTGTCCAGAACTCTAGAAAAATTGGGAAGGTTGGGCAATGAGTAATGGTCATTGGATTCGGCAGTTAGTCTGGGAGAACTGTACAGTAAAATAAATCACAAATCTGTGATTTCTATTTTTAAAACTATTACTTGAATTATGGCTCTAGTCTCATTTTGTACGTAAGTATTGTTTGAGAATTATAACCCTTAAGAACTGTTTTGTTATGAAACAGTCCATAAATTGTTGTATTTGTTTTTAAGTGTTTGCTTTTTCTCTTCCTCAATTATAGGTTCATTTTAATCGTGATGGATCCTTGATAGTGTCAAGTAGTTATGATGGTCTCTGGTAAGTATAAACTTTGTATTAGCCTCTGCCTTAACACAGTTTTTTTGCACAAATCAATGGGTAATACTTAAAATATCATTGAAAAATACAGGTTTGACAATAGAAAGAGTACTGGATATGGAAATACAAGGCATGGGTTTGAGTCTTGGCTCTGCTGCTTACTCCTTTCGTGACCTTGGGCAAGTCATTCACCTCCCTGACTCGATTTCCTCATCTGTAAGAGAAAGTTGCATTATACTTCTAAGTTCTCTTCAAAGTCTAAATCCATGATGCAGAATCCAATAGACTGGTAAATATGAGATTAAAAAAATTCCCCCGATGACCAATTATAAGAGGATAAAAGTATTTAAAAGTGAAAACAGATTCCTTAGTAACCAGTGGAAAGCAAGTCAAGACAACCTTAAGATATCCCAAACACCTACCAGAATCATAAAAAATGACCCCAAAAGTGAAAGTAGTTTAATGACAACAGGTGCTCTACATTAGTGGGACTTTTGATTAATGCAAACATTAAATGAGACAAGTCACAATGAATACCTTTCTTTTTTTTGTGGGAGATGGGGGGGAGGTGTTGGCTAGGCAGTGGGGTTAAGTGACTTGCCCAGGGTCACACAGCTAATAAATGTTATGTATCTGAGGCCGGATTTGAACTCAGGTCCTCCTGAATCTAGGGCTGGTACTCTGTCCACCTAGCTGCCCCCACAATGAACACTTTTCAACACCTCAGTTCTGTTGCCTAGGATTTCTTCCTTAAAATCTTATACAATTGGCAAAGACAATAAACAGAACAACAGTCAGTATGAGGAGTCACACTTTATCCATTAAATTTTGTCATATAGAGTATGAATTTCAACAAAAACATATCTGCCAGTAGAAACATATCTGCCAGTATTTTATCACACTTTTTATTAAATCTTTAAGGAAAGTCCACTTTTGGATGCCAATTTATAGTTTCTGGGACCTCCCTCTTAGTTACTGAAAATTGAAAGTAAAATTCTGAGTTGTCTTTTTTTTTCCTAGAAAATACACTGATTTATTTAAAATTCTGCTCCATCACCAGAAGAGTTTTCGTTTTTGTGCCTTCTGTCTTATTATTTGGTGGGGGAGGTAATTTCTTTTACACATAATACCTCACACTATTGCTTTAGAGATTAAGAAAAAAAAAATTTTTTTAATTTGGTACCTGTTAAGCTTGAGGAGTCACACTATTCTGAAAAATAATTTAGAGTCATATGAGAAAAAGAAACTAAATGGATCCTATCTTTTGTCCCAGCAGACCCATTATTGAGCATGTACTCTATGAAAGCTAATGATAGATCCTGGTTTTAATAAAGTATTCATGGCATTCTCTATGGTATCAAGAAAATAGCTAAGTTTCGCTGAACAAGTAGTGATATGTGAATATAATACCATAAACAATGAAAAAAAGTGAGTTCAGGGAAACATGGGAACAATTGTACAAATGACACAGAGTAAAGATAAAAGAACCAAGAAAAGAATTTACAGAATGACTACAATACTGAAACAACCTAAAGAAGTAAAGCAGAATGTTAATAAATAGGCATAGAGAACATTCCTCCTAGGTGGGGGACTATGGATGGTAATGCAGAATCCATTGTCAGATAGGATTTCATTGTTAGTTGAGTTTGACCAAGTGTTTTTTCTTTTGCTGGGGGCAGCTAGGTTGGTGTACTGGTTAGAGCGATGGACCTGTATTCAGGCAGATCTGAGTTCAAATGCAGCTTCAGGCACAAGCAATGTGAACGTGATCTGTAGCAAGTCAGTTAAGTCTCACTTTCCTCATCTGTAAAATGGGGATAAGAATAGCACCTACCACTGGGGTGGTTGTGAGAATAAAATAAGGTATTTGTGAAGCTCTTTGCAAATCTTAAATTGTTTTATAAATGCTAGCTATTACTGTTTTAATAAAGTTCAGTTCAGTTGCAGGAGGTGGGGAGTTTAGAGGAATTGACAAATGTACAAAGAAAAGTCAACAAGCTGAAAAGGGAAAAAGATTTTATATAAAAATATTCATAGCTGCACTATTTATAATGGCAGGAAAATAGAATCACACTATTCAATAATCAAGAGTGGCTGACTACATTAGATTGTGTTATAAAAGAGTTTAGAGCAATTTTTAAAATAAAGCATTTGAAGAAATAAAGAAGATTTTTGTGAAGAGATCAGTCAGAACTGCATGTACATACATACGCTTATTAAGTCACTGTCAAAGCCGAACGTGGTAGGACTTCATAACTGGAAAGGGACAGAGCAAATTTTATATTTGATACCTTGTTTTTGATAGTTATTAATTTGATGCATTAAAAACTAAAATAATTTACTTGTGGGTTTTTTTTTTGCTTGTATTTTAGTCCTTAAAATTTAAAGACTATCACTTTTTTTGTTTTTCTCAAAAGCCGAATCTGGGATACAGCATCAGGTCAATGTTTAAAAACACTTATTGGTAAGTAAACAAAGTTTTCTTTTGTTTGTGTTTAATGATTCATGATTTTCTGAGAATTTTTTTTTTCTACTCTGCCTCTATTCCATTACACTTCTCTTCTAAAGGATGAAGTTAGTTAAAAGAAATCTTATGGTAATAACTCTCTTTGGCATGACAGCTTGAAATGCAAAAAGAGAGCTTGGTTTTGACTTCTCTTCTTCCTCCAAACTTCTTCCTTCACTGACATTTCTTGGGTCAGGTTTTGATATATCTCTTCCCTAAATCAGGTCAAATTTAAAATTGGTGGTTTTTTGGTGTCTTCCCTCCATTTTCCCATTCCTTTCCCGAGGGGTTAGGATCTTTAGGTTAAACAAAAGAAAATTTTTTTTTCAAATTACCTCAGTTTCTTACTGTGTTACTTAAGAAAGATCTCATTAGTTTTTCCCTCCAACAGCCATCCTTCTGAACTCTGTATCATGAACATAGCTTAGAGTTCATCAAATGACATTTATGTGCAAATGCTATGCTAGGCTCAAGGATACAAAAGTGAGAATGACTTGACCCTTGCCGTCTAAGACCTGACAGGGCATAGAATCTCTCCCTGAGCTTCTTCCATCTTCTCTTGAGTCCCTGTACATCTCTGATCTTGAAGTGACACTTTAACAATTCTGTCTATGCAACTGGCATCCCACTTATCTTTTTATTCTTCATTTATTTTACCTAATAGATTAGTATGTTTTCTGAGATCACTAGCTATAATCTCCTGTCCAAACTTCATGGTGTCTTCTCACCCTTACTCTTTGTTACTCCTTAATGCTGCTTACTTGTGATACCATGACACCACTGTTCTTGTTGTCTTTGTTCTTCTCTTTTCCTTTTCCCATACCATTAATTTTTAGTAGCTCCTGGGGCTATTCAAACATTGTTTATTTTCTGATATCATCTATATGTCTTCCTAAGTTCTGGTCCTGATTTCTCTCTCCCTTTCTTTACTTAAGAAAGACCTTTACATTCCTGTAAAAATTTGTCTTGAAAAATGAAGATACACATTTGAAATTTAGCAAATCATAGCCTTTTGAAGTTTCCTCTTCTTTCTTTTCCCACTTAGCCAATATTAACAAAACATTGTTTATTCTTTTTCCATTTTGGATTCTTTATTAAGTATTTTGGTCTACTCTTGGATCTACACCCACTCAGTACTCTGTGTCAGTCCCTTAATCTATATTTTCCAACTCTTCTCTGCCCTCATACATGTTATAATAATGTTCATTAATGCTTCCATGTAGTATGGAAAAAAACATGCAGTGATACACCATATTACCTATTGCCTCAAATCCCACTCCACATGAGGCTTTTGTAGCACTCATTCTGTATCTTTCTCCATCTCACTATCCCAACTCTGTTAAAGTCTTTGTCAGCTAATACCTTTGGTGGGATGTTAAGAGTTGGGATAAGGGGGGAGCCAAAAGAAACTGCCTACTGCAATAATTTTATATAGGCTTGGCTTCAGGGGATTACTAAAACAAAAGGATTCTGAAAAGCCCTACTGAAGTAGGGTTCAAAGGTCTGGAATGCAGTCTTTCTGTGAATAAACTTGATGATTGAGTAAATGTAGTCATTCTAAGTCCTGTGTCTCCTTCCTCGGTAGAAAACAGGAGCCAGGTTCTACCTTACTCTGCTCCTGATGCAGTTCTCCATGTTAGTCTTTATTCTCCTATTAAGTTAATTCATTTGTTATTTTTGTTAACTGTTAATTTTTATAAAGTTAATTAACCTGCATTGAAATATCAGGTTTTTGCCATATGGAAATCTCATAAATCTTGACCTTGAGAACTTGGACAAGGGCTTGGAGTGGGGAAGAAGAGAAGCTTGCAGCATTCTTGTTTTGTGAACTATTGTTATTATGCAGATGTGTGTTAAAGGATGTTTTGGTAGATACTCTCTTATGTGGATCCCAGATAATATCATTAACTTGCAGTTAAAATGCTTTTTTTGGGGGGGGGGTGAGGCAGCGAGGGTTAAGCGACTTGCCCAGGGTCACACAGCTAGTAAGTGTCAAGTGTCTGAGGCTGGATTTGAACTCAGGTCCTCCTGACTCCATGGCTGGAGCTCTATCCACTGTGCCACCTAGCTGCCCCTAAAATGCTTTTTAACATCTCAAAACTCTTTGGTGAATCTGGCTTCCTCAGCTTAGTCCTAGTGTTTACATCTATTTTAATATTTTTATAGTCAAAATTTTGTCTACTAAAGATTTATATTAAATTTTATTTTTATAAATTATCAAAAAAAAATTGTCAAGCGTTTTTTTTCCTTCCCTTCTATCTCCTCCATCTTCCTTCCCTTGAAAAAAACAAAATCTTACAACAAATAACTATATTTAAGGAAACAAATTCCTGTGTTGGTCATATCCAAGAATATATCTTTTCCCGCATATTAGGCTGTCACTTCTTTACCAGGAGGTAGATAGCATTCCTCATTATTCTTCTGGAATTACGATGAATCCTTGTGTTAATCGGTTTCCATGTCTTTCTATATTGTTTTTACAGTGTTGATGTTATGATTTTAAATTGTTCTCCTGGGTCTCAATTTCATTCTGCATCAGTTCATTTAAGTCTTCTCAAGTTTCTCGGAAACCTATTCATTTCTTACAACACAATACTATTCCATTACACTTATCTACCATAATTTGTTCATCCATTCATCAGTTGAGAGTACTTCCTTAGTTTCTAGTACTTTGCCATTACAAAAAGAATTGCTATAAATATTTTTCTACATATAAGACCTTGTTCTCTTTCTTTGATTTCTTTGCAATATAGGTCTAATAGAAATATTGCTGGGTCATTTAGTAACCTTTTGGGCTTAGGTCCAAATTGCTTTCTGTGATGGCCATGATGATTTGTGTCTCCACCAATGTGCTGGTTTTACTACAGTCCCTCCAATATTTGTCATTTTAGGCACCTAATGGCCAGTGAGCCACCTAGTTGCAAATGGAATGTTGGATTTGGTGTCAGGAAGATTTGAGTTCAAATCCAGCTTCATCTACTTACATAGCTATGTGACCTTAGGCAAGTCACTTAACCTCTCTCTGCCATCTGTGAAATAGGGATGACAGCACTTCCCTCATAAGATTGTTGTGAGGTTCAAATTAGTTAAATAAAATGCTTTACAAATCTTTGAGTACTATGTAAGTATTAGCTCCTGTTATATTTTTGTTTGTTTGTTTTGTTAACTTTGCAAATCTGGGTGTGAGGTAGAACCTTAGAATTGCTTTAATTTGCATTTTTCTAATTGTTTGTGATTTGGAACATTTTTTCATATGGCTATAGATAGCTTGGATTTCTTCCCTTGAGAACTGCCTGTAAAAGAACATCTTTTTATATTATTGTTTTTATGGAACTACCTATCATAGGTGAAATAGTCCCTATTGACAATTGAGTATGAATTTAAAAAATCATTAAAACCAAATCTAGCCTTTAATCCTTATGTATTTTGTTGTTGGATTTGAACACTTCTTAAGAATTAGATATATTTTGTTCTTGTCCTTAGGTTGAGTTGTATAAGTTTTACTATAATTGGCGGTTGTGCCAAGCACTATAGGGCAGCTGCCAAGGAAATGCTTGTGTTTACATTTTAAATAGAATGAAATAGAATAGATAGGATTAAATGAACATCTATCATAGGGCGCTGTATTTTAATTCTTCAGCGCTTTTACAGCATATCCCTCAATTCTGAAGATTGATAGGCATGTTAATAAACCTACCTGGAAATTGAATAATAAAATGTATTTCACTGTTTTTTGAGGGTGAGCATGTATGGTACATGAGCACTCTGGGCAAACTTTCTCACTTTCAAAATGGATTGTAAGTGAAAGGGTAAAATTAGTCATCAACTATGAGAATTGAATAGGGACCTTATGTTGAATATTGAATATAGTAGGGTCTGCACCCCTGTTCTCATGAGGAAAAACCTTGAATGTTTCGGTTCAGAGAATTAGAGGATTATGACATTTGGATCATACAGAAAATCAGGGTGATGAATCAGCAAGAAGGTCACCTTGAAGTCAGAAACGTTTTTCAAATCCTACCTCTGACGACACATTAGCTGTGTGGTGGTGGGCAAATCAGTGAAACTCTCAAAGGCAAATAGGACTGAAGTTGCTAATCTCCCATAGAGGGAATGCCTTGGGACTTTGCCACAACAGTAGAATCACAAATCTTAACTACTACTATTTCATTCCTACCAAAAAAAAAACCCAAAACAAAAAAAAAGCCTAATATTTAAAGATCAACCATTTCTTAATTGACATTGTTTTTCAGCTCTTTGAGTCTATAATTAATGCTTGTATCCTTCCCTCAGGATCACTCCTAGAATTCTAGATTTAGAGGTGAACCTTAAGAGGATATTGAGCCTAACACCTCCCAGTCCCATTTTACAGTTGTGAGAACTGGAGCTAAGGATTTAAGTGACTTGCCAGGGTCACAATAATAAGTGTCAGAGGTGGGATTTGTACTGAAGTCTTCCTCATCTATCCACTATCCCTATACTGCTTCAGTCATTCAGTGGTAAAGTGTTAGTAGACCCCAGAATACTTGAGACAAAGATGGGGTAATTTGTATGTAATGCCCAATAGAAAAATGATCTACAGAACTTGAGTGAAAAGTCATTGACTGTTTTCTCACAAGCATCAATTCCTCCCTACCAAGCTATAAAAGGTGTTCAGTTTGAGTTTGGTCCATCATCTTAGAGGCTGGATGCAGAGAGGAGGAGTTGAATATTTGAGATAGGCTTCTGATCAGCATCCTAAACTTTGGCACTTTTGAAGTTAAAATGTTTCCAGAAGAATCCATAAATAGTAATTTGCTCTAAGACAAATAGAAGACTAGTTTCTGAAAGAATATATAAGTAGGAAACTCCAGGACTATTTTTTTTGTTCATGGTAAGTGGTTTATCTAATGGATTGAGGAAATAACTGAAATCTAACCTTTCCCCATTTTTTTTGTATTCCTAGGCAAAGTAAGTTAAAACTCTTTTTGAAAGGAACCACAAAACCATAATGTTCAATATTAGTAGTGGCATCTTATACAGAACTTCTTATTGTATTTAGATGGTGGCATGATTTAATAGAAATTGGATCAAACATTTCAAATGTGTCTTAAGATTTTCATTTTTAATACAGATGATGATAATCCTCCTGTGTCTTTTGTGAAATTCTCTCCAAATGGTAAATACATTCTTGCTGCAACTCTGGACAAGTAAGTATTTTATGCATTTGTTTTTGTTTGTAAGAAAATACATTTACAAAAAGGACTTCCTTTGTACCAATATTAAGATTCCTTCAATAGTTATATTAATGAAATGTATAAATGAGAACAAATTACTTTAAAACAAGTATAAGCACTTAAAATCTAGGATATCAGAGAGGAGAAACCTTAGCACTAGTTCAGCTCCTTCATATTACAGATTGGGAAGACTAACTGTAAAAAAAACTTTGGTAGTCACTTTAATCTTTGAAGTAGCTTTTAGTATTTGTAATTTCTTGATTACCCTTGAACGAGTAGGATAAGGTAGACAGTATAGCAGAGTCACATGGACTGGGAGTTCAAAGTTGGCCAATGTCTCTAAGGTAGTGATCTTGTCCTGCTACTAGGAAGACTTGATTAGGGCCTGTGATATGTTTGCTATGAAGTGTGTTCTCTGGCAACTTGAATTTTTGTGCCCACATTTCTGTGATGACTGAGGCTATGTACTGAATAGTAGTCATGGTTGTGGAAAGTTGCTTTCTTCATAATATCAGGAAGCTCCTCTGCTCTGGGATCTTTATGAATGTTTAAAACTAATTAGCTATCTAAGCCCCTTAGGCCTAAATGTTTTGTTTTTAAGTTTGGGGGCAGGTTTGAATTTTTACAGAATGTGTTACATGATCAAAACAGATTCTCCACGAGTTCTAGTTATAAAGCAAAATATAAAACTCAAATGTAAAATGTGTTATTTTAGTAGAAAGTCTTTTTGAATAGACCAGCATAAGAAGCAAATTTAATTGGAGAAACTGACCTGAAATCAAAATTGATTCATTACTTTCTCTTCATCTCTAGCACTCTTAAGCTATGGGACTACAGCAAAGGGAAGGTAAGCACTTGTTTAAATTGGACAAATTATAAAGACATACTAAAAGTATCATTCCATCAGGTTTCCTACTTTGGGTGTTATATGATAGTAATGCCATAAGGGCAGAAGGAGAAATCTTAGTGAGAGGTACCTCATGGAGTTGACCACATTGCCTAAAAATTTAATTTCACAGATTGACACTTAAATATAAAAGTTGTGTGAGATAACAAACATATCTCCACAATAAAATATTTCAAGGATCTATAGTTTCATTTGTGTGAGTACTCTTCACCATTGTGTATTGGAACTCTTCTGACTTAGATGGTCTTTGATAATTGCACTGGCTAAAAAATTTGGCATCTTGTGGCTATCCTGGTGATGAGCTTTTCTGGTCTTATAAGGGCTGATCTTTAGATAAGATAATCTATCGTTATTCCAATATTCAAAGTCTTATTGTGCATTATGTGGCATAACTTTTAAGAACTAAAGGTCATCTCTTATTTCTGGGAATTTAGGTGAAAGACACATTTACATGGTAATTAAATACAAAGTCTCAGGTTTGGGAGTAAGTAATAAAAAAGTGAATGCGTATCTATGCTTAGAAAAGGCTTGACTGTTGAAGCATTACTAGGACTAGGCTACTTGAATAGCCAATTCAAGCAGGATAAAAGTATGCATGAAGAATGCACTAGAAAATGCAGAATGACTTGAATTGGTTCTAGTCATATCAATACAATGCTAACCAAAATTTAAATGCCCATGAAGATGAAGAATTATCCAGCTCTGCTTTTCTGCCTATAGTTTCTCTCTCTCTCTCTCTCCCTCCCTCCTTCTCCTCTCTCTGTCTCCTTTCCCCTCCTTTTCCCCTCTCTCCCCCTTTCTCTCCCCTAATAGAGAACGAAGTCTTTTTGTGGAATGCTGTGCAGAAATAAGAGATAACATATCCAGAGGGATTTGTGGAAACTTAAAGCGTTCTTTAAATGTCAGCTGCTGTTATTTTTAAGAAGCCCTTCCAAAGGTTAGGGGTAGCAGATGTGCTGGTGTCAGTTCGTTACATGAAGAGAGACTCATGAGGTGTTTGTGTCTCCAGCACTTAGCACAATAGCTGGCATGTAGGAGGTACTTGATAAATGTTTATTGACTTCACTAGGTGGTTCATTTAAGAAGAGGAGTCCATTAACATGGATGGACTGCCTGACTTAGCTTGGATCCCATGGAATTAACAAACTAGAAGATCAAGAAATCACTGAGATAAACCAGATGGCCCGGTTCTTGTAGACAGATGGAACTGTGATGATGATAATGATCATTGCCTTTGTGCTGTGTCCAGGATTGACTGATCCAAATGAAATTAAGAATAAAATGACCAACTTATGTAGGTTCTGGGTAAATTGCTGCTTTTCCCTTAAGTTTAAGATAAACCTGAGAATAACTTTCTTTTCTTTCAGTGCCTGAAGACATACACTGGTCACAAGAATGAGAAATACTGCATTTTCGCTAATTTTTCGGTCACTGGTGGAAAGGTATATTTCGTGTGGCTATTTTTATGGTTTTGGGTCTTTAAAAGGTGGTTGAGAGATAAAAATAAATAAGTGGTGGTAGAAAGTTTAGATGACAGTGTAAGACATATAACTCTATTTATGCAAAATACCTATTCCTCAATAGATGAAGTTACTCATTGAGGGACTCTGTGTACCTGGCCCCAGGTAGACAAAAACAAACAAACAAATCCTTGCTTTCAAGAAGCTTAAATTTCTAGCAGGAGATATGTACATATGTAAGTATATACAAATGAAAGGGAAACTTTTCTGCTGTGTAAGAACTTAATAATCTGAAAGAAGACAAATATATCTAAAATCTGAATTTTTTGAATTTTGAATTTAGCAATAACTATCAGTTAGTTATACACCATAAGCCTGCTAGAAGAATTCAGTTTTCAGACTTGATAACATTGCAAATAATATGAAATGAGTCTTCAAAGATGGGCTTAATAATTGACAACTTAAATTTAGGGAGACATGTAACTTCTCTCCGCTTAAATCTTTCTAACTCCTACCACCTTATATCACAGTGGATTGTGTCTGGGTCAGAAGATAACCTGGTTTACATTTGGAACCTTCAGACAAAAGAGATCGTACAGAAATTACAAGGCCATACAGGTGAGCATAAAGCTCTTTTTTTACTGATGATTTCCTAAACTGTCAAATCTGCATTTTGTTGGTTTCGAATGGTGTGACAGCTGTGCACCCACCTTGTTAAACACAGAGCTGGTGCTTCCTGTCCATGGTTTCCCTTTTTGCTCTTTCTGCACCATTTAAGGCCTCAGACAAGCATTCTCTTCTCTCTGGCTTTGGCCAGGCCATGTTCAGTGTTCTCAGATTGTGTGTGTGTGTATATAAAAGTCTGTTCTGAACTAAAATTAGCTTAATGTTCCATTTCACAGTATCTCTATCTCTTGAGTCTCTTAACATATTAGTCCCTTCATATATAGATCTAGTTTGGCAGATTGCTTGATTAATTCCTGAACAATCTTTGTTCATATTGTGATTTGTCTTAGTCACAATAGTCCCTTCGCCATAAAACATCTTTATTTTTCATCTTTATATAAAGTCTAGTTCCACTCCCACAAATAACATTCTCTGACTACTGAAGCCCATGTTAATTTCTTCTCTTAATTCCTATTATACTTTGTTATTATCACAGCTATATACTTGGTTCTTCTTTCTAGTATATTTTTTGTCCCTATTAAAACTGTTTGCTCTACAAGGGAGCATATCTTTGTATTCCACTACCCATAGCACAGGGCTGGCAATAAAAGTGCCTGTTTACTCAGTTAATTGACAGGCAAGTTAAGTCCACAAAACAAGTTGGAATTCAGGTTCAGGACTTACAAAGCTTGCTGCTTTTATCTTTGATATTCATTTAGTACCTACTCATCTGACCATTATATTTAAGTTTTTGGTACTTTGTTCCTTTAGGTCCTCATGCTTCCTGCACTTTATATACAGAGGTCTTATAATCGATTGCTTTTCTCATGTCCTGACAACTCACACGATCTGTTCATTCCTTGTATTTATGGAGAGACTGGAACTAAAGGGTTTGCTTGAAGTAGGTCTTGATTTCTTTTAAGCACAGGCAAATAAAAGCTAAACCCCTCCTAAAAAAATTTTTTTAAGCTTTTTGATTTGGCTGAAAAAATTGCTGACTTCTAAGATCAAAATGAATATATGTCATTTTTGTCCCCTTTTAGCTGTACTTAGAACATAATGTTCAAAAAATGAGGATAGTATTAGGTTCTGCTGACTGCTTATGTCTTCCTTTTCTTTTCCCCTCTCTCTACTCCCTCCAGTCTTCTCTCAAAAATAAAATAGTTTAATTAGGGCCAAAGTGCCAAGATCTAAGCACCAACTTTTAAAAAGTGTATCCTTTGGTTATGAGGGAGAATGGAACGAGAGGGTAGACTAAAGGGTGCAGGACCCCCATCAGTTTCTAAAGGACAACTTAGAGTCACATCTGCCAATTGAGGACCATATATGAATAGCTTGCACACAATGGGGTTGTCTTTTTTTTTTTCCAGATGTTGTGATTTCAACAGCTTGTCACCCTACAGAAAACATCATTGCATCAGCCGCATTAGAAAATGACAAAACAATTAAACTCTGGAAGAGTGACTGTTAAGCCCTTTCGATGTCATGTTAGAGACTGTATCAAGAAGTAGGTCCTATGAGGCAAGAAACTAAGATATTTGAGAATAGTTTCTTGGCCTAAAGGGAAATCCCCTTTTTTCTTCCCTGGAATGGGTAGCCTGGTGAGAAGAGGCAGCATCTGCCTTATTTGACAAATGGATCTTTTTCTTATTTTTTTGTTTTAAGGGGAAAAAATTTGCTTGTATTACTAGAAGGTCCCAAAAGACTTTGGTGATGCTTCTTGCCAACTCTCCTGATGCTGTCAAAGGAAGAGTTTCAATCTATATTGTGTTATAAATCGAGTCAGCAAAAACCTGAATTTTTAATTTTTTATTACAGAAGGATAAATTTCATTTCATCATGAATTTTTCCTCAACTAAATGTTCTGTAATTTTTTAAAAGATATCACTTACCCACTTCTAACTCTGTGACCAAATACAACCATGTAAGTTTTTGGCTTTCTATCCCCCAGTTTCACTGACCTTGTGGCGAAATATCTTTTAATCTTCTGTATAGTTTTACCTCTTGATATGTATGTTTAATAGATATATCACAAGTTGTCTACTTTTTTCCCCCCAAACATTAATTCCTGCTTGTAAAAGTTCACAGCACATTTTGAAGTCTTTCTGGGGAAAACAAAAACAAAACTCAGAACATTGTAAAGTTTTTCAATGTAAAGACAATTTTGTATCTTTAAAGTTCATACTATGGAACTGTTAATGGCATGACTGTATACTTCAGCCTCAATATTTTCCCGTTTGTCACACTCTTGTTTACACATCTGACAGTACCATGTGCTGTAATAAAAAGGTGGGATTTTGTGTATGTGTGGCAGCTGTGTTCTAATATGCAGTGTTTGTGTCTGTTTAGTTTCTTACATTCACAAGTGGCAAAAAAAGCTCTTGACAAGACATATTTGCCCTAGTGGTTTATTCAGTCTTCCTTATCGCTGTAACATGTAGCCATAAACTTGTCTGTGAAGGGTATGTTTCAAGCTATATTTTGTACTTGTGAAATAATAAACAGGATACTACATCTCAGTGGAATAGACAGGGAAAGAAGCCACACCTCAAATATGAGAAGCAACAGCATGTTAGTTGCTGAAATGGCTCCCACTGAAGGTCAAATTACTGGTCAGATGTGGAGTTCAGTGTGACAGGTACAGCTACAATTGAATGCATTGCCTGTCCTGTCACACTCAGCCTATCAGTGTTAGCCTCCCAATGCCTTTCCTAAAACAGAAAAATCTGTTTAGATCTATTTGTTTTTCCCAATTTAAAAAAAAAAAAGCTTAAATTAAGGTCTTGGTAGGTCCACTAAATATAGCTTGAGATACATGCTTATCCATATGAAGTACCCAGGTTTCCCTGTTTGGGCGCTTCTCTAGCATCCATTTCATTCAGTGGCATGACAACTTTCAGGAAGGTGCAAAATATTAAATCTAGCCTTCTCATTTCTAAGATAGAAATGTATAGTTGGAACTCTGAATAATGTGGCTGTTTAATGAGTTTTTATTGCCCAAGTTGGATTTTAACTTCTTTACCTTTGTGAGATTGGAAGTCTTTCTTAGTCATAGTCTGTTGAACTTCAGACCTGGTTAATGATTCCCCTGGGGAGAGAATCTGAAGTGGTTGCTTAGGGAGAACTAAGGTAGAGAGAACACATTTTAAGAATTGGGTTTTGTAGTGCTTGTAACAAACCATGACAGTCTTCTGGTGTTCACCAAAATCTTTTTTGAATCCTAAGGGTAGGGTGGGACGGGTAGGGAGTGAGAGCCTCTTAGAACTAGATGAGTAGATCAGGTTTTTTTAGTCAGTGTCTTGCTTTCCACCCTGTTTGAAACCTGAATGAGATGTATTACTCCATGGAATGCCACAAGCCATTTTATTGATATGCACCTCTATAGACAGTGTTAGTGTGATTGCATGCTGCTGAAGAGACTGATTCTCGTCTCCTATAGGAAAAGTCAATGTTCTGTTTCTGTTAAAACTGCCAGAATGAAGCCATGGGCTCGTTTGGAATTGGTGCTAAGACTACAAACTGTGACTCGATGGGATGAAGCAGTTGTAGCCTCTCCTGTGGACTTGGCTTTCTGCATGTAGTGCTCACTAATAACTGGGCAGTGGGATTGACTGTAAAATACAGCCGTTTCCTAAAATACCTTCCAATGGTTGGCTGCAGTTATTGAGTAGAACAATCATGTAAGGCACTTGGAAAAACGCTTCTGACAGTTTTCTTCCCATTTTTGACTCGTGTGTCTACATTTTACGTGTACTCATATCAACACATGTGTGTTAGGTTGGCTTATTCATTCATAAAGACTTTTCCAGCCTAAGGGTCAGAAAAAAAATTGTATATAAGCCTAATACAAATGATTGAAATGCAAAAAAAAAAAGAGTAAATGTTTGTGAGTCAACTTTAACTTGAACCAAAACCATGTCAGTTTTGGTTCTCTTACGCATATCTGAATTTTTTTTTTCCAAGTTTGCTCTCCTGCCTTAAGTCAATCCTTGCAGGAATGAGGTGAGCTGTTTGCATAGCTCCTACCACTGCATATAGTTTATTTTTTCTACATTTGAATTCTTCTTGGTAGATTTATGTAAAAGCACATGCCTTTTTTTTTTTTTTTTAAAGAATAAAGATTTCCATGTCTACAATGTGTCACAAATTGATCAGTTTCTTAACATACTTGAAATTCCCCTTTGGTCTGGTCTGTTTCCATATTTGTAACAATGTATCTCTCCTGTTTTCTACTTCTGTCCTGGCTGAAACCTGCAATTCAAAACTTGGAGGGGGTGAAGGAACTTTTGAGTGGAAGTCGGTAACCATTTACTAAGCGCCTACTGTGTGCCAGGCACTGTGCTGAGCATTGGGAGTACAAAGAAGGGCAAAAGACAATCCTTGCCTTGTACCATCAAGACACCTTTGCTTTACAGCTTGTTGGAAGTGGGAATTAAGTAAAAGGTCTAAATTTGATTATTGGAGCTGTCAGTCACAACCTCTGAACCTCCATTTACCCCTCTGCTACAGCACAAATGCAACTTGCACTCCCCATTTCACAGGTTTATTGTTAGGTTCAAGACAGGAGGCAAATTATCTCACCTAGTTTATTTTATTTTTACATTATTTTATTGTTATTGTTTTTGGTGAGGCAAACAGGGTGATGTGCCTAGGGTCACACAGCTAGTAAGTGTCAAGTGTCTGAGGCCTGATTTGAGCTCAAGTTCTCCTGACTCCTGAGCCATGCTGTATTTGCTGTGCTACCTAGCTGCCCCTTATTTTAGTTTTTAAAAAGCTTACTTCATTGTTTTACTCTTAAGAGAAAGAGGTATGGGACAACCTATCTTTTTTGCAGGGTATAATCAAAGTGCATATCCTAGAGGTGCTTCAATAGGAAAATCCATTTGGGTTTAGAAAAACTTGACTGGTTTCATAGAATATCTTAACCTTCAAATCAGAGTGCATTTACAAGTAATATTTATAATTTTTTCTTAGATTACCTTTCTTTTGTCCTAACCTTAACTCTTTTTTAAAATTTGTAGTTTTAGTTTTCAACATTCCACTTCCATAAGATTTTGAGTTCCAAATTTTCTCCCTATCTCCCCCCTCCCCCCACCCCAAGGTGGCGTGCAATCTGATATAGGCTCTACATATACATTCATATTGAACCTATTTTCACATTAGTTGTGTTGTAAAGAAGAATTAGAACCAATGGGAGAAACCACAAGGAAGAAGAAACAAAAAAAAAGACCAAATAATATGCTTCAATCTGCCCTCCGACTCCATAGCTCTTTGTCTGGATGTGGACAGCATTTTCCTTCTTGAGTCCTTTGGAGTTGTCTTGGATCCTTGCATTGCTGAGAGATGAATCTGTCTAACCTCAGGTCTTTGAAGCCCAGGTCAAATGCCACCTCCAGGAACCGTTTGCTTGATTTCTTCTACTGGACTCTTCTCCCTTCCCCCGGTTGATAAGTAATAGTTGCCTCTTCTGAACTTATTCAGATATTTTTTCCCATATCTCATATTTTGTTTTGCATTGGTTTGTATCTATGGCTCATTTTCCTTAGTGGATTGAGTTCCTTGCGTTGTGCCAGGTATATAGGTGATTGAATTTGAATTCCAAATCTGGCCCCCACCACTTACTAACTTTGTGACCTGGGGCAAGTCACTTAACCCTGTTTACTTCAGTGTCCTCATCTCTAAAATGAACTGGAGAAGGAAATGGCAAACCACTCCGGTGTCTTCGCCATGAAAACCCCAAATGGGGTCACGAAGAGTCAGACTCGACTGAAATGACCAAACGACAACAGATTCTGAGGAAGTAACAGAGCTAGAAAGTGATATTCCCTGTTCTTAAGGAATTGGCCATACTTGGGTTGGGCACTGGGGAATAATACGTGTGTTTAGAATTTAAATGAATGTGAACATTCAGTGGCTTTATTAAGTGGTAGGCCTTGGAGGAGCCTGGGCAGTTAGGTGAAGGTGATTCAGGGAAGTTTCTGTGCAGGCAATGGGGGTAATAGCAATGAGTGCAGAAACAGTAGCTCACAAAGAGGTTAGAAGATGAATGGTCCAGTTTGACTACAACATAGGGTCTGCAAAGTCAGTGAGTAGTGGCAAATAACCAAGGAGCCTAATGTAACCTTAAGCTTCATTAATAGAGTCATGGAAGGAGTAGGGGAGTGGGCATCAAAAGAAGGCAGAAAAACACAGTTTGCCTTAGAAGTATATTCAGTTCATTAAGGATACAGATAGGAACAGGAAGAAGGGAAGGGAAATATAAAAGAGCCTGCATCCAGGGAAAGATTAGTCATAAGCAAAACAAACCCTAAACTTGGAAAGGAGATAGTGAAGAAAAGCTTAAAAGGGAAAGAAAAAAGAGCAAATAACTTGAAGTAAATGGGGTATAGAGAAGTAAAAGTCTAAGAGAATAAGATGGAAAGAAATAATTACCCTAACTGAATGGGTTTAACTTACTCATCGAAGGGAAGAGACTACTAGTAGAATCTATTAAAAAGCAAAATCCACAACAGTATGTTGTTTACAACAAACACACTTGAAACATTAAGACGAATTCAGCTGAGTAGGAGCAAACAATATTTTTGCCTCAGTTGAATGTAAAAAACCAGGGATAGCCATTATGATTTCAGATAAGGAGATGGCAAAAATTGTCTTAGTTAGAAGAGAGAAACTCTATTTCGCTGAAAAGTAACAGTGATTTGGTATCAATACTTAACATATGAATACTCAGTGACATAGCTTGTACATATTTAAAGGAAAAACTAAATTAGTTATGAAGAGAAATAAACTAATAGTGGAGAGACCTCAATTTATCCCTATAAACCAAAAAATAAACAAGGAAGTTATGGAGCTGAAGGGACATTTAGAAAAATTAGATATGATAGACTTCTAGCAATCATTGAATGAAAATAGAAAAGAATGTACATATTCATGACATTCTTACTAAAACTGATCATGTCTTTGAACACAAAATCCTCACAAATCCAGAAAAACAGAAGTATCATACAAATCTTTTACTGATCACAATGTGATAGAAATTATATTAAATAAATGCTTACTGGAAAGAAGTCCCAAAAATCAACTGGAGACTAACAATCCTAACAAGGTGATGGGTCAAAAAGAGCACATCATAGAACTGATAGATAATTTCATTGAAGATATTGATTAAAAAACAAAAAGACAACATCCCACATAGCTAAAGAATTCCTTGGGGAAATTTTGTTGATAGGAAAATGTGTATCTCTAAACATTTTTATTAATAAAAAAGAACAGGTAATAAATTGGGAATACAACTAAAAATATCAGAAAATCAAAAAAGTTTAAAACCCCAATTAAACACCAAAATAGAAATCCTGATTAAACAAAGTTGAAAACAAATCTCATTGAATTAATAAAATCAGGAGCTTCTTGGAGAAATGACAACAAAAGATAAACCATTAGTTAATTTGCTTAAAAAGCAGAAAAAGAAAAACCAAGTTACCAGTATCAAAAAAGAATTCACAAGTGAAGAAAAAATAAAGAATATTGTTAGAATCTATTTTGCCAAGTTACATGCCAATAAAACCAACAACTTAAATGTTCACAAAAATATAAAATATCCAAATTAATCAGAGAAATAGAAAATTTACACAATCTAAAGAAGAAATTGAGCAAGCCATAATTGAACTTCCAAAGAAAAAGATGGCAGAAAAAACTGAGAAAATACATCCATTTCTGTTAAAAAAAAAAAGTCGACAACAGGAATAAATGGGTCTTTCTCTTAAAATGATAAACAGGCCATATCTAAAATCAAGAGCTACCATTTTATGTAATGGAGATAAAATAGAATGCTTTCCAATAAATTCAGAGGAGAAACAAAGATGTCCATTGTTACCACTTTTACTTGACAGTACTAGGAATGCAGACAAGAAAAAAATTTAGAAAATAATTGTAGGTAAATTAAAAAAAATTTTTTTTTTGCAGATTTTGTGGTGTACTTAACCCTAAAGAGTCAACTGAAAAATTAATTGAAATGATTAACTTCATTAAACAAGCAATACATAAAATAAATCCATACACATCATTAGCATGTCTTTATATTAACAATAAAGTCAAGGAGGAACAGAGAAATTTCATTTAAAATTTTACAGAATGTATGAAATACATGAGTTTCCCTTCCAACATATATACACGCACTATATAAATACTACTACAAACAACTGTTTACAGAAATACAGACCTAAATACTTACAAAAATATTAATTGCTTATCATTGGATGAGTCAATATAATAAAAATGACAATACTGCCTAAGTTAATTGTTTATTCAATGTCATACCAATCAAATTACCAAAAGATTACTTTATTGAACAAGAAGAAATAGTAATGAAATTTATAAGGGGAGAGAAGGGGTCAGGAATCTCAAGAAAATAATGAATAGAAATAGGAATAAAAGGGGCTTAGCATTACCAGATCAAACTATGTAACAAAGCAGTAATTATCAAAAGAATTTGGTGCTAGTTAAAAAATAAGAGTTTGATCAGTGGAACAGATTAGGTACATAACTTATAGAAGCAAATGTATCTAGTATCTTAGTATTTGATAAACATAAAGATCCCAACTACCAGAATAAAAGCATTTGACAAAAACTGCTGGAAATATTGGACAGAAGAAATTGAATTTAGACTAATACTTCACACCTTATATACAAAGAAGCTCCAGATGGGTACATGTCTTCGCTATAAAAGCTCACATCATAAACAAATTAGAAAAGCATGGGGGAGACAGGATGGGAAGGGAATGATCAGACCTACGGGTCAGGGAAAAGTTTATGACCAAATAGTGGTTAGAGAGGATAACAAAAGAAAAATAAATAATTTTAATTACATAAAATTCA